TGAGGGCGAGAAAGAGGAGATAAAAATGAAAAATGAGTTGACAAAAGTGAAAACACTGGAGAAGGGAGAGTGATACAAAGGCAAGTTGACACGGCTCAGGACTGAGATATAGAAGGAACAAAAGAGTACGTTGAAGGTGACATATGAATATGAGTCTGTGAAGGACAAGATGCAAGATAGCCTGGTTCTGAGAGTGATGTAACCCTAATCAGGGCTCCTAATTCTCAAAAACCATAAACAACAAATGCGAACTGGGCAGATGTTAGCTGTGTACGCAGTACTATTTTTGGTTAGCAGAAAAGAGAGAAGGGGAAAAAAGAAAGAAAGAAAGAAGGCCTTTATGTGAGATGTGACTTGTGAGTAAATGATTCTGTAATCAATTGGTTTATGATTGATTTCAACTTCTCTGTGTATATAAAAGTAAGAGAGAGAATGAGTGAGGATCTTTATCCTCGCTTTCACTTTTTCAACTCTGACACCCACCAGAAACAGGACGAGAATTGAAGCCATTATCATCATTAGGTTTTATATAGCCTAGCTAGAGACTAGAGTCATGCAGAAGCTTGCATTGCCCGCAGCAAAATTTTGTTTGTCACGAGTGTAATGACGGTAAGGGGTGTTTTATACCTCTTGTTTGATTTAATTTTGATTAAAAATTAAACCGAATCAAATTATTAAATTTATTTATAATTAAAATTTAATTAATTTTTATAGAGTTCAATTTTTAATGTAAATTTTTAATTGAATTCGGTTTAATAAAAAATTGGATTGAGCTACAATTATTTATTTAATTTTTTTTTTCTCCATCTTCATATATGTACTATGTATTAAAATTAAATCTAATTTTTTTCATAAATAAAAGTATAAAAATATAAAATAAAATTTTAATGTGATAACGATAATTAATAATAAAAATTGATATAAGTTTTTTTGATTAAAATTATTTAATATTATACATTTTTATTCAAATCCTTTAAAATGTTTATCTATGTATCTATATTTTAATAAATAACAAAAAACTTATCATATAAAATTTAAAACAAAATGCTTCTTATAGATAATTAATACTGAGGCTTTCAAGTTGTAAATAATTAATGATGGTCATAGTATCATTATTATAATTATTTAATATTATACATTTATATTCAAGTCCTTTAAAAATGTTTATCTATTATTATAAAAAATTTAAAACAAAATGTTTCTTATAGATAATGGTTATAATTTTTATAAATAAATAATAATATTTTTAATCAAGTTTGGCTTGGTTTGGTTCGGTTTTTTCTACTCAAAATCAAATTTGAACCAAATCAATCAATTCTCATATTATAAAAACTGAAGCAGACTTGATTGTTATTTAGTTTTTGATCAATTTTTTTTTTGTTTGAGTTGGTTTGGATCAGTCATTTTGATTTGGATCGATTTTGAATACCGTTAAATGCGGGATATTTGAATGCATTATTGAACTCCTTAAAAAGGTCAGTTTACTGTGTGGTTAAATGATTTATTGCGAGTGCGTAGTTAAGTTGGCTTTGTCATATCGGTAGTTCAGTTAATTATCGATTTTAATTTATCTAGTCACTGTTTTGTGTGCGGGTAGACATGATGCAAATAAATCGTCTAATTGATCACTTCATCGAAAAAATTTGGGTAAACTATTGAGGTTCATTCTTGTTAGTATAGCATGTTCTTTCATCACTGTAAGTATCTTGTTCGTTCTGGCCTGATGAATTAGCTTTATCTGCACTTTCATTTTGATTAATTACAGCGATGCGCGCGCCGTGTTTTCAATATTAATAATAAGATGTAAAAAATATAAATTTTGACAAATTTATTTATTTATTTTTCTTAATCTAAGAAACTTGACCTAAGTTCATGGTATGAAGTATGAACACAATTCTTTGAAAAGAAAGGGAAGACTCATTGCCTCATTGGGTTTGCAGGTTGGATCAAAATAGATAAAGAAAAACAGAACAAGAGAGTTTTAATTTATTCTAAAATTTCGAGTTTAAATCTGGAATATACGATTATGCCAAAGATGTTAGATGTAAAATTTCAGTTGTATATTAATTAAAATTAGTAAGGAAATAAAAATGGTTGTGATAAACCGAGCGAAGGGGTTCTGAGTCTGACACATTGTCGATGGCCACACTGGCCGACTCTGCTGCCTAACCCCCGCATTTATAGCCTCTGCCGCTGTCAACTATTCCCGTCTTCATTCTTTCTCTATTACAACTGGTGAGGTCCCAACTGTAGCTTGAAAATTAAATTACAGGTTTTATATATTGAGAAATTGTAATTAAAAGGAGGAATAACAGTTAAATTTGGAATATTAAATTAATGATAGATAAATTTTGATAATTTTTTAAAAAAATGAGTCAAAAATATCAATCAAGATTTACAAATCTAAAAGTTTCAATTTCAAATAAATATTTAAGTATCAAATATAACTCTTAGATAATAAAAAAATTTTATTTATAATTATTTAAATTAATATTTATAATTTAGTTTGAAAAATTTTTTGTCAATAATCTAGCTGTCATTAATTTATTTTTTTAGTACCTAACACTATCATTCTCTCTGTTACAATTCACATGTAAGATTTTACATGAGAATGACATCACATTTGAACAATTGTTAAATTGTTATATTTTTATAAAGGACTTCAAGAGAAACTCAATCTAACCAAAGAAAAAAGATATAACCAATTTGGGAATTCACTTTGATTTTTTATCATTTAAATCAAAATTATCATTATCATCTTTTTTTATATTTATAAAAATAATAAACTGAGAGGATGAAATATGGGATGAGATAGAAGAAAGGGTTGGGAAGCATTAATTTTCTAGGCGGGATTTTCTTTTTAAACAAAAATTTTATGTGAGTTGAATATCAAAGACTTGCTAGAGTTAGAATATACATCTAAACTCAAAAAATGCAGACCAAAATGCTTAATTACATACTATACGTCACCAACAATGTCCTTCATAAAATTTGATTGCCTACTGTTGGCTTCAATGCTTTCTCATGCCATCTTAACATTCATAGGACTTCGCATTTGCATGGTATCTTAGGCCTAGTGTAGTCCTTGTTAGACCTTTTTTTTCTTCCAAAAAAAATAAATAAATCTACCAATGTCCTGACTCCTGTCACAATTGTAACCCTCCTCCCTCCCTCTCTCTGCGAAACAGTTCTAAGCCTAATTGAATTAAGAATGATAGGAGTTATTATAAAAAAAAATTGTACTAATTTAATTATTGAATACTTCAGTTTTGCAAAGGCTGGTGTAGTCGTACGCCCTTTGCGCTCTCCAGCCTGAAAGGAGCAATCTTGTCTATGACTCTATTCAATGTGCCAAATGTCACATGATTGAATTGAAACACTAGTTAACCTCTCAAAACTTTCACACAGGAAACAGGGACCAGGCAGTGGAGAGCAGATGAATAGGGTGGTCTTATCTATCTATAGCCTTCTAGAGTATCTCGCACTGCTTTTTAAGCAGAGTCACATTTGTGCTTGCTATGGTACACGTTCGCGCACACGCATCTGCAATCAACACAAGTGCAAGAACGGGCCTATGTATATGTGACCACCTCAAAATTGCTCTCTTTTCCCTTTTGCCCCCCCTCCTTCCCACTTTCCTAATTTATTTCCATTAATTTTCCCCCTATTTTTTCTCCTTCTCTCCTGTTAAATCACCACCGCTCTTTAGTTGAATTCCGTAAAGATGTAACCTAAAATCGTGGTACACAAAGTGAGCTCTTCAACTGTGAATTGGGTTAAAAATCCCAGGGACAGGAACAGAGGGCATGCTTATTGGACTCAGCCCATCAACTCCTATGATTCTATCATTTATCAACGGACTACCCCTGGAGCCGAAGTCCATGCTCCTATACTTATTCACTTTAGTTCATGCCAGCTCTGTAACACGTAAAATTACCGTCAATCCGTCATAGATTTTTTTTTTTTGGGGGTCAAACAATCCGGCGTAGATTTGGTGCTTAAGAATCATCAAATAACTAACAAAACCACTCGCCCTTGGAATGGCCATAACTACCTGCTCACTCAAGTCGTACATTCATAATTCAGCTCAGAAGAAGAAAGCGTAAGAACAAAGGAAAGGTACCTGGAAATTACTCACAGCGGCCACCATCTTTCAAATAGATTGTTGAACTTGATGGTCTACAACTTTAACATTTCTGCTGGTTTGACTTGTTTTACTAAATTGCAGCATGATTCCATTCCTAAGTGAGACGCCAAAAGCGTTAAAGGATACAATTCAACAAGAGAGACGAACCACCCAGAGTCATTTGTCAACCAAGCTCGTGCCTTCGATTTCGCTTAGGCTTAGCCAGCGATAAATTAACCCATGCTTTCTTCCAAAAATCCTAGTCTCATATTTTTGGCCTAAACTTCTGCAAACCTAGGATCCATAAGTAACTACGTACCTCCTAAGACTACAGGACATTCTGGTTCTGGCCAATCCCACAACTCTTCCTTCCTTACCAGTTTACAAAACTCACTGATTCCCTCGTAGAATCAGCCATTTCTTTTTCCTGATTCAAAAACCATCAATTTCTACTTTCCCATCACTACTTTCTTTGCTCTTTATAAACCTTTATTTTACATATACAGCAGAAGTTGTTTATTACTGAATGAAAATAAAATCATCATGCCTTTAAGCAGTGACAAGCATACTTCGAAAAACCAGCAGAAACAGCACAAGCATCACGAACCAGAAGTCTCGAGTAATAAACTAAAGTCCAAAGTTCAGTTCAGCGTTCATCACAGCATTGCATTATGTTTGATATAGTTTCACTCGGACTAGGAATTTTCCAGAAAATCTAGAATGTGTTCGCTGAATCACTAAAAAGATTATACACTCGGAGTTCATCCAATTTACTTCAAATATTGTCAATTACTACCCATGAAACACGTTCCGCTGTTCCTTATTCTGGAGCAATCTTTTCCTTTTGGCATACAGTCATAATGCATGCGCTTAATTCAGTACCAATATGACGCCACATATTGCAATCAAATGATCAATCAGAACGGCGAACATACATCTAAAAGCATAACACAACATGCCTTTTTGATTCTTCCTCTTTCCATAGTACAAAAAAAGAGTGAAAAAGGAAAAAAAAATCAGCTGAGGCAAAGATTAATTTAATCTGACTTAAAACTTTGTAAAAGCTTACAAAGCGAAACCCTTCAAGTACTCGGGATCACGCTTGGCCCTCTCCTGGAATTTCTTAAACCATCTGTCCAGAATATCCATAGGGACGACCAATTTGGACCCATCCACACCACAAAAAGACTGCATGAAATTGAACAAATTTTCACCTACTTTCAATGCTAAACGTTCGATTCGCTTCTCGGCGGTGACATCCAGGGACGGCAACGATGCCAAGTCCTCGACGGAAACCCCAATTTTGGCCGAGAGTGGCTGCGCGTCCGCAGTCAACTGCAGCTGGCTGGAACCCCCAGGCTCCGGCCACGGAAGCGAGATCACGGCGGACGGGCGGGCTACAGTGACAGCCCCACAATAAAGGAAAGCCGAACCCGGCGACTGGATGTAAACGGCGAGAGCTTTATCGGGAGGAAGCGTGAAGTTGTTCAAGAGAAAAATGCAGACCTCGCGAATTTGATCGTACGCCTCACCTGCGCAAGTTAGCAGAAACTATTGAAATTGACTAAGAACGTGGGCGAGAAATGGGATGGAGTTAACTTGAGCGGAGAGCGGAGTTGTAAGACTTACCGACGAAGGTGTTCATATCAAGGAGCCAGTGGAAGGTGTCGATTTGAGAGAAAGTGGAGATGTCGATTGGGAAACTGCGATTTGGGAATACTACTCCAAACATTTTCCCTCTTCTGGTATTGGATCAAACGCAAAACTGCTACAGAACTCAAAACACTCTGAGGGCGAAGAGCCTGAAAATGTTGTATCCGGATTGAACCGCTTAGAAGCTGAGACATGGAAGCATCTAGCAGAGTCTAGAACATTGAAGAAGATAGATTGGGAAGAGCCGCGCCTCTTCCACCATTGCATGGAGTTTTTTATTTTTGTTTTTTTTTAATCTCACAAATTTTTTTTATAAAAACTCTTCGAATAATAAAAGTTATTTTTTTAAAAAAATAATTTTGGCAGAATGAAGATAAATCTGTCTGAGATGAAAAAAAATTTCACAAAATATGATAATGATAGTGAGATCATAAAAAAAATTTAAAAATAAATTTTTATGTAAAATTATTGTAGTAATTCTTTACAATTAATTTTATATGATTCACTAATTTGATATAAGTATTCACAAGTTTAGTTTAGAAGTCATCAATTTTTATCACCAATTTTTTCAAGAGTAAAGAGGCAAAAACTTGCAAAATAGTCAGTCACAGGTATTTAATATTCTAAAATAATGAAAAGGATAAAAAATATTCATAACGTTATATGGATGGGTGCAAAAGTAATCAGACCATTAATTTTAACCTAACACCATTAACTTTGACCACTAAATGCTAACTATGCATGCCACGTGTCAGTCTTTATTGACGTGGACTAAAAAAGAGGTAAAAATACTCATGAAATTGTCGGCCAGGAGCAAAAATACATATAACATTATTAGAGTTGGTGTAAAAGTGACCAATATATCTAATCCCTTAAATGTTGATTGTTTAGTTGACACCTAAATAGAAGTTGACTATTTTTTATTGATATATATAAAAAAATATTTTAAGATAAATTTTTACGAATGTTGATTGATCATTGTATGAGTACTTATAATGTTATTTTAGTAAGTACAATAGTGATCAATCCATCAAAATCAATGTCATATGGTTTCTTTTCATCACCATATATCTTGCCATCTTCCTTTATCCCTCTCCACTCATTTTTCTTGTCTACAAAAACTTGAGATTTAATATAGTGAGATAGGTTGTTCAAAATCAAAGATCGAGCTAAGAACATCTAACTTAAGAACATTGTCACAACCTTAAGCAATTGCATTCATGATAGATTCAAAATTTTTAAATGATTTTTGCCACTGCTGTTAAGAAACAAGCAATTTAATTTGATATTCAGTCAAAATGATATTTTCTTACATGATATTCATACAAAATCGATTAACTTTCAGAGAATTTTATCTAGAAATATTTTTGTCTACAACAATAAAAAAAAATAGTCAACTTTTGCTTAGGTGTCAGCTAAATGGTCAACATCTAAGAGATTAGATAAATTGATCACTTTTGCACCAATTTTAATAACATTAAGAGTATTTTTACCTTTTTTTTAGTTCACGTCGAAAAAAAACTAACACATGGTATGCACAATCAGCATTTAACGATCAAAGTTAATGGTGTTAAGTCAAAGTTAACGATCTAATTATTTTTGCATCCATTCATGTAATGTAACGTTATAGATATTTTTGTTCTTTTTTCATTTTAAGATACCGGATACCCATGGTTGATTATTTTATCAGTATTTTTGCCCCTTTATCCTATTTTCAATCAGTAAACTTCAACTAATTTTATATAATTCATGAGTTTGGTATAACTATTTGAAAGTTTTGTTCCACAAATGATTCAAGACTTTCTATTATCAAAGTTCAACTAATTTTATAATGCATGTTTCAAATTCAATATAAATATTAAAAAGTTTGGTTTCCCTAATAATTAAAACAATTTATAAAATTATGACTTTGTAAACCAGATCTTGTAACAACCCTCCTCGGGATCTCACCGTCACCCGAGGCGCTGGACAGGAGATTGGAGGATCGAACCTGGGGAGGCTTTCCGTAAGGGGAATAATCCGCACATTATTGCGGGGAAACCTTTATCTCCTGATGCTCACCGTAAGGGGTGGGGTCGCCCTGTTGTGGAGCCTGGGGGGAGAGTATCCTGCTCCCGATGAGGGCTGTTATAGATCTCGTTGCTAAAATTATTTTGCATATAAATTTAATTTTAAAAAAGTCATTTGAAAACTCATTGTTTTTATCACATTTTGAAAAATTAAATTATTATTTTTTATTTTAAAATAATTTATCTCTCATTCTGTCTTTAATTTTTTTTATCAATTTAGACTTTAGTGCTATGTTTTTTTAAAATTTTTAATCAATTTTTATCTCAATAATTATATTTCCTGTCACCAATTTATATGACCAATATTGATTTTTTTGAATAATATGTCTATTATTAATATTTTATTAGCTATATTAGTATATCTTAATAATATTATTTTTCTTTAAATAATACGATTAAATCCATAATTGAGACCAATTTTAAAAAATAAAATTAAAAAAAATGAAAGACTAAATCAATAATTTAAATAAATTCATGGGACAAAGATTTCATTGTTATAAAAAATTTCATACTTTTTTCTCAATACTTGCTTCATCGTGTTAAATTATTTTTTTCTTTTGCCAAAAATTTAATTTAATCTTAAAACAAAAACAATAATTTATCTAAAATTATACTATTTAATTAGGCGTTCCATAGGCTTCCAATATAGGTAAATTATGCAAAGCCCGTGTTAAACTGGATCATCACATTGGATTGAGAAGGATAATGAGTCAGTCGTGGGTGCATAAATGCATCGCTGTGGAATTTTGATGGAGACCGCACGTACGTGAAAGCCAAAATATGCCTAATTTGCTCTAGTTTGGATTTTTACTATAAAAAAAACATAAATTCAAAAACATAATAGTTGGAAAAATAAATTCTCTATTTAACAATGTTTTAAAAATCGGATAGGAAGATAAAACTGAACAAGTTATTTTTAAAATAAAATAACTAATGCCCCATAAATTTTTGTGTAGTAAATTAATAACTTACATTCTGGATTATGTAATTATAATTACAATTATAATTATAAATATATTAAAAAAGGCACTCCATTTGTCTCAAATTATAAAGTACTTTCAAGAAAGTTTCTCTATCCCAAAATATAAAATATTTTAAATAGATTAAAGTTTCATTAAATGCACAATTTTAATATTATTATTTTTATAATTAATTTCCATCTCTTCTCTTTTTAATTTATTAAATAATGAGCATTTTTAAAAGTTTATATTTTGTCTTGAAATTTTTGTCTTGAAATGAAAAGATAAGATTGTTAAGTATATTTAATAAAATTTATTAATATGTAATATTTTATTTAAAAATGTCTCATAATTTGGGATGAAAGAAGTAAAAATTATCATAGAAAATTAATGAAATAGAAAAAGTCGCGTGATGATCTTTCTTAGTAAAAATTATCATAAAATACTCAAGAATAAGTTATTAATTACAACTTCTATGTAAGGATTTGCTTTTGCGTCACTAACACATCATCATCGATCAATCAATATAAATATCATCATCATCCATCAATATAAATAGTGAGAATCATCTCTAATTCTATATGTAAAATTTCTGAAAAAGTATGTTATTTATTAATTACAAATAGCAAGAATCATCTCAAATTTTATATAAGCACGGAATCCCATTTAATTTTATAAAATGAACAATGACTAAAAGATAACTAAATCTAGTTGGAGGGGTTAATTTTTCATAATGTGATGACAAATTAAAATTAAAATTATTGTTGAAAAATGTATCCACATTTAATACCCGATAATATCTAAAATATAATGAACTCCATAAATGACACCCATTCATAATTTCAAAAATAATAATAATTTGTATTGAGGAGACATAGTGAGTAGTTGAGTGGAAGGAACTTGGGAGCAGACAGGTTCATTGGGTTAAGTTAAAACAGGGTCTTTGAGTGGCCAAGAATGAAATGAGAGAAAAAGGCATGGTAATTTGTTAAACAGTTAAACTGTCACGGAAAGATTGTAACATCCCAATTTAAATTTTAATAGTTAATTTGGGTTAATAGAAATTTAAAAAAAAATATTTAGAGGTAAATAAATTAGTAGAACATGATCATTAAATCTAACTTAGGATATAATTCTAAATTAAAATTTTTTTTTAAAAAATTATTATTAATTAAATAAAAAAATATTATTAAATTATTATTATAATAAAAAAAGAAGGAAAAGGTTTGAAAAAAAAAAGAGAGAGAAGGAAGGCAGAAAACGTGCAGCCGCCTCAATAGTAGCAATAGTAAAATAAAATAATAAAAAAAAAGAAAAGAAGAAGAAAGAAGAGAGAGAAAATAATTAAAAAAAGATGTGGGACCCACTGAATTTTTATAAAAACTCACCTGTTCCTTCATTTCTTCATTCCTTCTTTCGTGCGTGAGCTTCGGCAGAGAGAGCATCTGTGAGCCAAATTCACCGGTGCAGGGTTTTAAGGTAAGAGTTTTTAATAGGATATTTAGGATGTGATTTTAAACTTTTCAAGACTAAGTAAGTGTTCTAAAATTTTTTCTTAGTCATCCTTTTTCTTTTGTTTCTGAGTTTGTAGTGGTAGAAAATTCAAGATTTGGAAGAGTGATGAATTTATGTTGAATAAATATGGTTTTTGAGGTTGTTAGTAGTATAATAAATATTCTAGAGTATAAATTTATTGGTGATCTTTGAATTTGTGGCTTATGGATCAAATTCTAGACTAGATCTGAAAATATATGTTGATTTATTGAGGTTTAGATGATTATTTGGGATGAGAAATGAATTATTATGGCTATAGGATTATGATTCTAAGCTAGAGACTTAATTTTTAATTTTTGAGTATTTTAGGTACGAATTTATGAAATAAAAAGAAAATTTTGATAATAGAAATTAGTTTAGAAGTTGATTTTTAGATTATTAATGTTTATTGATAATTAAAAGAGGAGTTAAAAATTATACTTAATAGTATTAACTATAGATTTGTATTAAGATTGAGATTAGGAATTATGTTATATTTTTAATTCTATTATTAGAATTATTTTATTAGTTTCAAAAATTGAAACTAATATTTATAAATAATATGTTATTTGTAGATTGTATTACTGGTGAAGATTGTGGTGAGAGAGAAATTTTAAGGAATAATTTATTGAAAAAAGCCACAAGGTAACCATGCTTTTAATTTGTGATTTGTGTTACTTCATGTTAATTGGGTGATTATTGAGAAAATTATAAATTTTGTAATATTATATAATTGTGCAATATTATTATGAATTTATTTGATTATTGTGGGAGGTGTTGGGAGACTTGTTATTGTTGTTATATTTATGTGCCACGTGGTACGCCCCTATTGGAGCTCAATAGGTGGTTTGTAAGGGCTCGGGCTAATCTACCTTTGGCCGGGTAATTTAGCACCGAGTGAGGGCTACGGCTCGAGGTTAATGGAGGGATATAAGGATGGTTGTTTGTGTGTATCGTAATATTTCTTATATTTGTTGGAATTATATTATTTTTAATTCTCACTTAGTAAGCACACACTTAACTGTTTGTATACACTATCATAAATTGGCTTTGGTTACTGGGACTTTTGAGTCTCATTATGTGGTTAACAATTTTCAGGAGAAGAGCCACGAATGACACGTGGAGGAGTCCCAGAGGCTTAGTGGTATAGATCCACTGTCTCTTTTGGGTATTTAATTTATGATTTATAATGTATTATATTGCCAATATTAGGACTTTTTTATGTTTATTGTCAATTATATGAATATATAAATGTAATCATGCCTTTCAAACTATTTCTATTTTTAGTACAATTTGGATGACTGTAATTTTAATATTTGGTTTACTTTGGATTGGTTAAAATGGCATGATTATAAGGCCAAATAACTGGCTTGTGTTGAAAATTGACTAAATTACTTATTTTACTTGTTGGGAGTATAAGGATGGACAAATGTGATTTAGTTTACTTGTTGGGAGTATAAGGATGGACAAATGTGATTTAGCCTAATGGCATGTGGGAGGTAAAAATTTATCTAAAATGTTATAGTGTGTAAGTTGAAGCCAATTATAAAATATTTTATATCGAAATTATTGATATAAAAATGTGTTGGGTGGCTGTAACCCAACTATGGTTGAGTTAAATTATTTAAAAAAAATTGGTGTGTTACAAATTTTGGTATCAGAGCCAGGTTTCGATCCTGGGACCTGTGGGTTATTGCCAATATTAGGACTTTTTATGTTTATTGTCAATTATATGAATATATAAATGTAATCATGCCTTTCAAACTATTTCTATTTTTAGTACAATTTGGATGACTGTAATTTTAATATTTGGTTTACTTTGGATTGGTTAAAATGGCATGATTATAAGGCCAAATAACTGGCTTGTGTTGAAAATTGACTAAATTATTTATTTTACTTGTTGGGAGTATAAGGATGGACAAATGTGATTTAGTTTACTTGTTGGGAGTATAAGGATGGACAAATGTGATTTAGCCTAATGGCATGTGGGAGGTAAAAATTTATCTAAAATGTTATAGTGTGTGAGTTGAAGCCAATTATAAAATATTTTATATCGAAATTATTGATATAAAAATGTGTTGGGTGGCTGTAACCCAACTATGGTTGAGTTAAATTATTTAAAAAAAAATTGGTGTAACAGCCCTCCTGGGTCACCACTGCCTCTCCAGGGTCTTTTCCCAGGCGCTGGACAACACACATGTCACCACATGATTGCCGGCTTTCCCACTGGTGGTACAGTGGTTATTCCTCACCCCACCCTCACGGGGGTCTTTTGGAACCTCCCCAGACTCGAACCTCCAACCTCTACCACCTTAACGAAGTTGAGGCGAAGTCTGGTACCATTGAGTCAACTTGACTCAATGGTACCAGACTTCGCCTCAACTTCGTTAAGGTGGTAGAGGTTGGAGGTTCGAGTCTGGGGAGGTTCCAAAAGACCCCCGTGAGGGTGGGGTGAGGAATAACCACTGTACCACCAGTGGGAAAGCCGGCAATCATGTGGTGACATGTGTGTTGTCCAGCGCCTGGGAAAAGACCCTGGAGAGGCAGTGGCGACCCAGGAGGGTTGTTATAAAGATTACTATGACTATGTTTCTTTCTTTTTTTTGTTAAAAAAAAAGTTTTGGAACACATGGATTACTAAAGCCGTGAAGTAGAAGCATAAGTGGAGCAAGAAGTAGGTTGATTTTCGAATCACAACCTAACGACTTGGTTGACATCTTGCTTACCCAAATAACAGTTCATATTCATATCAATCTCTCTGGGCTGCTGCCATTTCATTTAGTTAACGGCTTCAATAAGAAACATCTGAAAGCTAGCCATCACCCACCTTTTTCCTTGTCATTTCTTTCCCTTTCCCCCGGTGGAATTGATACTGACACCAATTCAAATATTCAATCCTCCCTCCTTCACACTTCCTACCTCACTACAAAAAATACAACTTAAACAACTGTTAAGTTATATATGTATAGATGGATTTAAGTTGAAGTGAAAAATTTCATATTGAATTAAATTGTACTTAATATTTAATTTGTAATAATGGGGAATGAATAGCATTTAAAATACATTTTGAAATTTTGAGTTAAGATATGGGGTTATTTCACTGCTTGTTGCCCATTTATTTTTTCTTCCTCTTTTTGAGCTGGTACTCCTTATTTCCAACAAGTGCTGTCATAATTAGATTTCACCCAACACGTAAAAGCTTGTAAGTGCATAAAGAGCCAGGTTTCACCTAGGAACTGTAAGTATGCACGTTTAAAACTAAAAAAAAAAAAAAAACTTGTCTTGTCATCTAAATCCCAAAATGGGCTAGGGGATTTGGTGGCTTGTTCAAGTTTTCCCCGTGTAAAGGTGGTTGCTCTCCATTCTTAACTCTTAGTTTTGATGGGGAGAATATTAGAGTGGAAAGAAAATTAAGAGAAAAAACTGTTAAAAAATGGAAATTTTTTTAATCATTTTTGGCAGTTTTCCTTCCTAATTTTCCTTCCACTTTTCCTTTCGTCCAAACCAAGTATAATTTCCAAATTGATTGGTCGAAAGGCAATTCTAATTCATTTATGTCCGGTACAGATTTTTAGGGGGTAATTTTACATGCAAAAGACCAATACAAGAGACTCAGCCTCTAAACACTTAGCTTCATGCAAAAAGGGTATAATATTCATGGTTATTGTTGAGCTATCACTTTTAAAGCATTCAATTCAAATTGACATATAATATATTATTTTGAAATTGCCTGTGGCACAAGCCACCATTGATTACAATTCATAAAAGTGTGACTATAATGTATACTATCAGCTTCAAATCAACCAACAAACAATGTTATTTACTGGATTATATTGTAGAGAGAGCTAGTGTGCTTTGATTATTACTTAGCATGAACCTGGACTTATATCTTGCTTACGCCAAGACAAATGTTTAAGGACAACAGAGTTTCTTTGTTTTGGGTTGACGGCTTCTACAAGAAACATTTGAAAGCTTGCTGTTAACAACCCTTTGGTCATCTCATCTCTTTCTGCACTTTCAATACTGCTTACTGATCTTTGCTCCGCAAACGAAAGGGACTCGCAGAGTCACCATGTGGACTTCAGTATCTGATACAGAAGACACTGCAATAACTGATGAGTCATCCTTGTGTGTGTAAGCTTCCCATAAATATTTCAACCTCTACAAGTTGAAGTTTACTTCTTTGTTTCAACCCAAGAACACTAAAAAGTCAGATAATAAGCGTTTATATCCCAATATAATTTAATGGGCACATGCATACTTACACTTGATGACAAAACAATAGAATTCCTCGTTCTAGTTAGTGACATATATAGAAGAACTCTCAACAAAATAATAATCATAACGAGTAAATTGAATATACAATACACTAATGTCCTAATGACATATTGAGGTGAGTTTGATGCCAAAACTTTGATCCCCGCTTCCACTCCTTTTCCTACTCCTTAGGCCTTGATGACTATGAACCTAAGCAAGCAAACAGTGTTTTCAAGTTAGATGGCATTATAAAAGTTGAAGTTGTCTTTTGTTTCACTTACTCTCAATATGTAAATCTCACATGTTTGATGCCATATTGAATCCTCGAGAATTAAAGATTAATACTAAATTTGATTATCAATTAAAGCTCAATAACTTTTGTGTGCCTTGTAATTAAATGCATGAAGAATGATTAGTTTTACTTATTAATTAAAGTGGCTGCTTTAATAAGTTGGTAAGCCTCCACTTAACCAACTGGTGACTTACTGTTCTTCGTCTTATCATGCCAGGGTAATCAGATTATATTAATTACTAATGTGAACAAGTGAACATGTCTTACTTAAGCCAAGAGGAATTTTGAAGGAACACAGAAGGGCTTTGACAAATATATGTCTGAGAGGGAGGTTTAATCAGAAAGTTTGGTGCAAGATAGCATGCAAATCCAAAAGTATGCTGGTGATGTAGCAACAGAAATTAAAAAAAGAATTTCAGACACTCACTAGCCTCCAAACTTAGTCTCCATTATATATAGCTTCTCAGACCAGTACCTGCTACTGCACGCTCATTGATCCCTCTTGAAATGGAGAAAGCAAACACTAAGTCTGCTTTGAAGGTTTAGGATTATGCTTCTTCTTCTTCTCTTCTGTTTTTAATTAGAAGTGGAATATCATGTACTGATTTCTTCATGTCTTTCTGTATTTTTCCTTATTCTTTATGCTATTGAAGTTTGTGAAGAATAATTCACGGTCTGCAGCTGAATGGAGCATTGCAAACTCAAGAGGAATGGTGAGAAGCCAGCACCACAGCTAGATCATTCCTCCTGTCCCAATGATCTTTTTCAAACCACTCATTTTCTTGATCTGACAGCTTTTACTTAGTTTTTTCCATGAAAACCAAGACTTCCACGCAAGGAAGATTTAAAACATTTCTTGTTACCCTTGGGTCTCAAAGTTGGGAAACGGTTAGCCCCTTCGTTTTTTAATGATGAAGGTGAAAGAAATAAAAAAAAAAAAGCCATTAGGTTGTGCTATATTGTTTGATGATAATCTCTTGCATTCTTGCCAAATATCCATGTTGACCATTGAGATTCTTATTTCTTAATATTCTACATCCTTATTATTTCTTGAATTGAATGATTTGAAAAAGTATGAGCACCGCAAGCAATAAGAGCATGGCTTTTTAAAAAGGCTATCATTGAGAAGGCCGAAAACAGATGTCGGTCGACACAAATGGCATATAACAGTTAAATGCATATGTTTTATCCTTTTTTAATTGATAACACTCGCCAGCTTATTTTATTTGGGCCGAAAACTTTTGGGTATATAATGTTTCCTTCTCTCTTAAGCAGGTAAAGTTACATTTTTAAAACTTTCAACAACAAACTTTTTCACTTAATTCTAGACTGTTAAACCATGCAATTGCTTTCCAGGCTTAATCAAGTACATCTCCAAGGATGGACCCCATTATGAAAAGACAAGTGCCCTAGCCTATTGCAAAATTATTCATTATTGATTGGCTTTAACATGCTTTCTTTCCTCTCTTGATCTTATCCAGACATGATTCGATATACTATCAAACCCTCTAATTTTAGCTTTTTCTATCCTTCAATCATTTGTCTCATAACCTAAAATAAACAGACAATGGGTGTTTCACAGACAAAAGAACTCAAAGAAAGGCTTACTGACAAGAACAAGCAGGTAAGTAGGTAGCTCATGGAAATAATTAATCAGTATCAACTTCATAAAATAATCTCTCTTTCATCAAAATTTTCTTCTCTTTGATCTCAAAGGCTTCAAGGAAGTCTCCTCCCAAAGAGAATACAAAGCCACAAGAGTTCAAACTCCACACTCAAGAAAGAGCTGTCAAACGTGCCATGTTTAACTATGCAGTAAGATCATTGAACCTTGCCCGTGAAAGCGAAAAAGCTCCACATACTCTATATAGATTCTCTGTCAAAAATTAGTGCTTGAGGTTATTTTGCATGTAAGCGCAGGTCACAACAAAGTTCTACCTCACGGAGATCCAAAAGAAACGAGAGGAGAAGTTGCTGAAGGTAGACACACCCCCTATAGTGTGGTTAAATTATTACAGCTTGTATGTAATATATTTAAGAGAATTCTGTTGAATGAATGAATGAATGAATAAAATGTGGACTAGATGATTGAAGAGGAAGAGGTTCGTTTGATGAGGAAGGAGATGGTCCCAAGAGCTCAATTGATGCCATATTTTGACAGGCCATTCTTGCCACAAAGGTAATAACAGGAAAAAGAACAACTTTTTGGCATGCAATCTCTCAAGAAACTGTAATGCTTATAATTTATGAATAATGTCACTTTCTCTCAAGCTTTTATATCTGTATGGTTAACCTTGGAGGTAGACGTTCAATCAAGAGAGAATTTCTTGGAAAAGAAAAGGAGTTTGAACGTGTGGAATGGAGTGTATATATATCGAGATAAATATAACAGATGAAAAAAATTCAAGGATCAGGGATGTAAAATAATGTAAAAAAATTTGAAAATGCAGGTCAAGCAGGCCGTTAACAATTCCAAGAGAGCCAAGCTTCCTGAGCAAGAGGTGGGACTGCAACTCAGGATATGAGTTTTACAACTTGTTTCAGCATCCAGCTCTGATGATGAAGCCCGTCAAGTAGAAACTTCTTTTCTCGTGGTGGGTCGTGTGAGAAAACGACAGTGTAAAATGTACTTTTGTGTTCCGTTTGTATTGTCTCGTGCATGTTATACACTAGCCACGCGTAGAGAGATTTTTGTACTATACCATGCCATCACTAACTAGGTCCACTGCACTCGATGATTTAGGCGAAGACGGCTTTCACGGTTTCACTGTATCAATGAAATAAAAGATGTCTTGTGTTTTTGACTTTCTCTACTCTTCTATATTTCTTGAATCTTTTCACAACTTTTTTTTTGGCAATATTCAATTGGGACTTGCGTAAAAAAAAAAAAAAACCCAAGAATAGTCTTTGATAGTGTATTTAGATTAATGAAAATTTTGAATTTAAATTTAAATTTAAACTAAATCTTTCATTTGGATACAATAATTTATGAATTTAGATTTATTTAAGCAAAATATATTTTTATTATAATTCTTATGTAATTTTAAATTCTCTTTATTTCCTGAAATTTCAATTATTTTAAGCCTTTTGTTCTCTTTATATTTTTATCATTGATGCCTCCATAGCTTTTATATCTCTTTTCAAATTTCAATCCCGTCTCTCATTAATTAAAAAATAAAAGTAAAATCATGCTTTATGATTGTTTGTTTTTGTTTTGAATATGAATATATCCCTTTTTTATTTGAATTTTTTTAAACTACTTGTAAAGGTTGTTTAAGTGTGGGCAAACTTAAGACATTGTGTATTATGTTGGACAAAATTAGACTCAATAATTAATATAAAATAAAAAAGATATTAGAGATATAAAAAATTTTCTTTTTTTCTTTTATTGTTTCTTGTTGTTTTTCTATTAAAAATAATTTTATTCGAAATATGATTAGACTAAATATGAGCACTGAATCTTTTAACGTTTATATTCATTTGTACATTGAAACAAATTTAATACAACTTCATCTATACTTGTTAACTCAATATGACATATGCTGACGTTTATATTTTTTTGGACAGTTAAATTTACCTTGTAACACGCCTTATGAAAGCCCACCGCGTTAACATCCAACTCACTAACCGAGTTTCCAAAACAAATCGACATTAACTTTGAATTAATTAGTATTAGCTATTTAAGTTATATCAAGCCCAACAATTTATTAAATCAAGCAATATATTATATAACAATAAAATTAATAAGTATGGTTACTTTAGCATTCTTGTGCTATTTATTAATGCAGAAATGAGACGAAAATATAAGTATGTAGTTTTTATTCTCATTTTTTATTTTTAAAAATTATTTATAATTTAATCTTTAAAATTGTTTTCCAAAATAAAAAAATATACTTGATTATATTAATTTAAAAATAATTTTAGAATAAAAAAGACGTTGACAGTGATAGTTGTGTATGGTTAATAGCGATAGCCATAGTGATTGATTGCATTAACTATATTTTCTAATAATTAAATTTAATATATTTTAAAAATAGAAAAATAAAAGAAAAATAAATTTAAAATTTTTTTATTTTTAATTTTTAATAATAAAAAATAAGATCAGTTTCAAAAATAATTAAATTTAAAATTTTTTTCTAAAAATTTGTTTAAGTTTTTTATTTACTGAAACCAACCAATCTTGGATAATTATGAAGCTTGAAAAGCGACCTTCGGTTCGGGTTGACTTGACCGGTTCGACTTAACCATCTGATACCATTTAGGATCCGGAGCCGCCTTTTTGCAATCCATCTTCCCGTCGCGTTTCACGATTGAATACCAAATCGAGCAGCGGATCCCGGCGACTGCGCTACTAAGGTTCGTTGTCTCACCTCGTTTCTTCAGTTCCATCCTTTTACTTTCTGTCGTGGATATAACCCCTCTTCCGCTGGCGTTCATTGGTGCCTTCCTTCCTTTTGTTTGCCAATTTCTTATGCCTTTGAGCTCCCTTTGATGTGCTTTTCGTGTTAATTTGCACATTCCACTAGTGATTTTCTAAAGTCCGAAGTTCAATTTTGGACCCTATTGTCAATTTTGGTTGAGATTTTTTCTTCTATTTTTTCTTTTTGTTCTAGGGTTCTGCACGGACATCTTTCGCGCACCTCGTTGTCCATCTTCTTCTTTTCGTTTTTTGGGGTGTACGACGTTGCTCTTCTCTAATAATTTGAGCTTTAAAGTTGATTTATTTGAGATTGTTGCCTTCCCCACCATTTTCGAGTCCTGGGAATGATTTCGATTAACCATCTTGTTATGGTTCTTTCTTTGTTTTTTAAAAATTAATAGTAAGTTATTTACTACATAGACGCTAAAAGTTGTGGACTTTCTTCTCTGGGAACGTTTTTATGTTGTAAGTTGTTTTTGATATGGAATTTAAACCTATGGAAACACATGTTGTAATTGTAACCACTTTATTGAGTTCAGCCTATTCGTGCTATAATGAGCTGGGTGTGTAATATTAGTCTTTTTATTTTCTGGTTTGCTGCAGGAATGAGTTCGTGACACATTGATTGCATATCCTTTGTGAGAGTTGACGTTGTTTAAATTTTATTCTGGGCGCTCAGTACATTTTGCCATCCATCATGGAGATACAAACCTGTGGCAAGCCAATAGATTCTCTACTTGAGAAAGTCCTTTGCATGAATATTTTATCGTCTGATTATTTCAAGGAGCTCTATCGATTGAAGACATACCATGAAGTTATTGATGAGATTTACAATCAAGTTGATCACGTGGAGCCTTGGATGACAGGAAACTGTCGTGGTCCTTCAACTGCATTCTGTCTTCTTTACAAGTTTTTTACTATGAAGCTTACTGTCAAACAAATGCATGGACTGTTAAAACACCCTGATTCTCCTTACATAAGAGCTGTAAGTATGGCGCCTGGCAATTTATGTTGGCCTTTTCTGTTTTGTTTGATCGTAAATACTGAAAGTTTTGTGCATTAATATCAATATATCATGAAGGGTGTGTGCATGAAATTTTTTCCCGGTTTGACTATGAACTAATACCTCTACTACCCCGTGTATGCTGTTTAGTATTGAGCTCAGGGACAGGTAAAATTGCATCCTTGCTACTTTTTACTGTACCCTATAATCACATTAACACTAGATGTAGGTATATTTTTGTGTTAAGCATGGCTTGTCCCCTTGAGGTGCCCCTGTACCCTATTGTTAGTGTTGTATGTCTCAAAACATTTTGTTCAACACTTGTCCATCTTTAGCTCAGTTTCTGTTTCGTTCATTTATTACCCGAAAAAAGTACTCCTTTTTTTCCTTTCAGAAATTACTTTATGAATAGGTCTCCTCTTTTAATTTTTTTTTTTGGTTAACAATCACCTCTGTGTTAGGTTGCTGTTAGTTAGGAACACTGTAAGATACTGGTGGTGTTATATATTTTATAACTACACTGGCCTTTGAAAAAAGAGGATGTGATATATATGGATTATAGCTACAAAAATTGTGAAACTGGACTATGCATCTAACCTGAATCATTTTATACATATTTGGAGAAGATGGATTTCAATTTATGAGGGTTAATGGTTACATTCACGTTTAGAGTAGTTCTGCTTGTAGACAGGATGCATGTGCAATTTTCAAACAACTTTCTTCCCCCACTTCTAAAAGCCAAAATATTTTACTTTACTTTAGTCACTTCCTTTATACTTGTAAATAGAAACGCATTCACTCAACTTGTACGTCATGGTTATTGAACTAAAGTTTTGTTCCTATTTGATATATTTTGCTTGTTATCAAAATTAAGACGCTGTATTTTTTTGTTTAGGGGTAATTCGTTTTTCTTGTCTAAATTCTAGCTTTTTGCACACCATTATTGTTGATGAGATTTTTTGCAATTTTACCGTGAGATCTGATTGTGTGTATTTTATGTTCTGTACTGTTCCTGATATTATTTGCAGATTGGCTTTCTCTATTTGAGATATGTTGCTGATCCAAAGAGTCTGTGGAACTGGTTTGAGCCCTATGTGAAAGATGAAGAGGTATGAAGACACGTATGTGATCTCTGTAACTCTTGAAGATCTATCATATAGTGAGACTTATCAAGTTCCTTTTGGGATCATTGTTTCACATATTGTGCAGTGCTTGAATTTTTCCTCCCGTACTTGTGATTTTATGTTTATAATATTAAATTTGTCAAATGATTGCCTTCTTTCTAATACAAGTCTAAGTTAATTTCACCCTGCGTTGGAGTGTTTTAAGTAGAAGAGATTGCAGTCATTGTGCAGGATGTCATACATTTCATATGGTAATTTGTTTTTCACTATCTAGTTATTAGTTATGCTATAGCTGATCTAGAGCTGCAGAACAAATATATATTTGTTTTTATAGGGTTGGAACAAACTTGTCAAGAATTCAGTACTTGCGTTCATTGTGTACATGTTGTGCCCGCATGATTTCCCCCCCTGGAATATAGTTGCTAGTTATGTTATATCTTGACCTTTTGTTCGGAGAATAATCTGCCCCTTTTTATTGAAAGATAGTTTCTTGTTATGTGGTATGATTTGGCTTGGATAAAGTTTTCTGGTGAATGAAAAGTGAGTTTAACTAGTAAAATTGTTGCTGAAATCAATAAAAATGAAGGGTTTAGTTATAATTAAATTTTCCAGGGGCTTTGTGTGCGCCCCTCTTTTTGGTGGTGATGGAAGTCATTATAAAGTTTTGATGGATGCCTAGATATATTATTTCACTTTACGAAGGGAAATGAGAAGCTTTCTTTCAAAGAAGGGCATTACATAACTTTAATTGCTAGTTTTCTTTATTTTTTAAATAGCTAAATTTGGATTTCTGTTATCTCGAACATCCCCATTTTCAGGATAATGTTAGAATTACTTCTTGATATTATATTAAAATTATTCTCCATATTCAATTATGATTCTTTATGTCAGGAATTTTCTCCTGGATCTAACGGACGCATGACAAAAATGGGTGTATATATCCGTGACTTACTCCTTGGACAGGTTAGCTACTGTTAAGTTTACCATACTATATTTTATGAGTATGCTTCCTGGTTTAATTTCTTCGGTCTCATGCTTTCCTTTTGCTTGTAGAATCAAATAGCCTTGCATGATAGTCAGCAAAGTGAACCCTGATCCCTTGATATTGAGATTTTTAAATGTAATGTCATACAATGACAAGGAAAAGAATATCATTTGACTTGCTTTTGACTAGTTAAATTGAGATTTCTGTCTTCAGAGCTCTTCTTCCAGAATCCAGCTGCATCACAAGATTGCAAAAGAAGCTATGTTTCTCATCATCTCATAATTTGGAGTAACGGTCCTATGAGGTGCTTTCAGTATCTTTTGGACATAAGACTTATATACCTACAAATAATTGTTTATTAGAATTAGCCAAGAATTTGTCGTTTTTTCTTGTACATCATACTCTGTTTATTGAATGCTCTTGTGACTTAACATGCAGGGTCGTCTATATGTTTTTTAGAAACACGTGTCTGAGGTCTTCCGGTAAAGTCATGTGAAAATTTGAATATGGTCAAGTTGAGTAATATTTTTAGTTGCTTGCTTGCTTTAGATTTTTTTGCCTTCTCCTTGGTTTTCCTCTTTGCTTTTTTCCTTTCTTGTTTGGAGTGGGCTATTGTACATGTCCTACATATCTTAAACTCTGCTTTTTTGTGTCACTTCTTGGCAATCCATTCCTTCCAATCTGTGAAATCCAGCCCACGTCCGCACAGCATTCTGCTCTAGTTGGGACTGCACTTCTAGAGTTGGCATGTGTTGTATGTGTTATGGAGTCCCGGGTGTATTTGTTCTTTAAGTTGAAAACATATTTTCAAATTACTAAATCATTTTTTAAACATCAATGATAAATAATATTATAATTATAATTATAACAATAATTTTAAATTACCACATAGAATAAAATATGAAAGTATTTATTATGTTTTTAGCATTTATAATTTTTTTTTTGAAAAAATTTGTGAATACAAATATTAAATTTTTTATATTTTGTATTTGTTATTTGCATGCTTTTTATATTTTTTTTAAAGTGAAATGTTATTATTTGAAGTTGCCAAAAAAAACATATTTTTTAAAAAATGATTAAGGGCATTATGGTAGAAAAAATTCACTTTAAGAGATAAGCTTTGATTCCATCACATCTTGGATGTAATTCACATTGCATCAAGTAAAGGAGTGAGGATTGTTATGGGAATGGACTCCAAAATTCAAACTTCAACCAAACATTTGCACACGGGAATCCTCATTCCATTCCTAACTGTACAGGAAAAAATCTCTCCTGCCAGACAGGTCGTTAGGGTTTTCCTTTATAGAGCTTCACTAAGTTGAAGTAATAATGGTTATTATCTTGTACTTTGTTGTAATGCTTAGCAATCTATCCCTGCAATTTAGGAGTACCAGTTTTAAATTCTTGTCAACCATAAAATTTCACTGTTTCTTTTTGTTTTGCGCCTCTCTAGTGTGATTAGGTGGCCTATTTTGTTCTCAAACGTGCAAACTATCAAACCTATACCAAGTCTTTATAAAGACCAGATATTGGCATATTGAGTTGTCTCATGTATACAGATACAGTTGTATTCTTACTAATAATTGAACATCAATGTTCATGTTTAAGGAAAATAATTCTTCTTGACTATAATATTCGGAGATATCTAAAGATGACTCTAATTTTGGTTGAAATGAATATTCTCAAGCTCGAGCTTGAATCTTGGTTTTATCTAGCCTTTTTAATTATATTGAGCAAGCCTTGTCATATTCAGTCCAACTGTTCTACCCTGACAATGGCTGTATGATCTGATCAAGTATCTATTTAGTTTTGTTTCTTGAAGGCCTAACTCCTCCTAAAATTCTCTTCAACGTTCATTTTCTCATTATTGTTTAGACTATACAGAAAATGCGAGCCACCATTTTAGATACAAGATGTTATCATTACCACATGGATTTTTAACCATCCAACTTGTGATTGATAGCTTTCAAATGAATGTTCTTCTTTTCATGACTATAACAGTGTTGAATGTTCTATAACAATGACTATTGTTTACTTTCCCATTGCGCACTATGATGTGGAGTCAAATGAGGATGAATGTGAATTATACCAATATTATTTTTTCTTTTCTTCTTGTTCTAGGATTATTAGCCACCAAATCATGACAGGATAAAGTTTCTTTTGTGCCTTTTACCAAAATCCCAAAAAGTGGAAGCCATTTCATTTTCTTCCATAGAAGTCTCTTAAAGATTCAAAATTGAATGGTTCAATCTTACAGATCCATTTACTTAAAATAAAGGAACTTGTATGGTGACTGCATCATCTAATTACCATGCTCATGGAAGGGATTCTGGAGATTAAAATAAGTCAGTAATTCTAATATACTGCCTTCATGCTCTAGTCTAGAATTTATTTTCATGGTACCTAACTTAGCCATGTGTCTAGTATGCTTGGATATACGTGCACCATAAATTTACCATTTGTTGTGGATGAATGACTACTATCTCCTCTTTGGTAGTTTTTGTCTGGTATCTAATTTGTTAGTTATCATTATTTTAACTTTTTGTGCATGCCAGCATCATTGACTGACTAGAATGTTAATTGTTGAATTTTGTGTAACCCTGAGCCCCATTCATGAGTTTGTTCTACTTTTGCAGTACTACTTCGACACACTCTTTCCCCGCATCCCTGTTCCTGTAATGCGACAGGTTGTATCAAATCTCGAGAAATTGAAGCTCCCTACCACGCATTCTGGTTCAACTGGGGAATGCACCCGCCACCCGCCATGGTTCTGATGAGACTGCCCGCAGACCTCCTTCTGTGAAAGCTGCCCTCTCAGTCTCATTTGGTCAGCGGGCTCCACATCGTGCTTCGACAAGGGACTCATCCCCTGTTCGCCGAACTTTACCTGGTCCATCTCATGAGAGGAATGGCAGTGAAGAACGAAGATCTCCAAGCAGCCGACGCAGTGGAAGCCATGAATATTATGAAAGGGATCAGGAGAGGGAAAGGGACCGTGATCGCTCTCGATCTAGGGACAGAAACAGGGTTCGGGATTATGATAGGGACAGGGACCGGGAGAGGGAGAGGGACAGGGAAGGTACTGTGATCGGGATAGAGATCGAGAGAGGGATAGAGACAGGAGGACAGGGAACGAGAGAGGGATAGAGAGCGGAGTTATGATTATGATAGGAGGTCTAAGTATGGAGAGAGAGAAAGTAGCCGTGATTATGACTACAGAAGGCACGATGGTAGTAGGCACTATCGCAGTCAGAGCAGGAGCCGGAGTAGGAGTAGAAGTCAGAGCTTGCAAGCTGGCCCAGCTCGGTTGGAGACCCATTCTAGTCCACAGAGGGACGGAGGCAAGGACAAGACATCGGCTTCCAGTAATCTAGCTAAACTAAAAGATATTTATGGTGATTTAAGTGATAACAAACGTGATGCCAACACTGAAAGAATTCCTGGGAGGGATAACGGAGGCGAAGAGGTAATTAGACTCGGTGGTTCCACCTGGAAATACTGAAACATTTCATGGAACGCTAGTTGTGTGTTGGATTACTCTTTGCAAGAAAATATATTGGACCTTTTCCCTTTGTAGCTGCTTCCATTTGTTGACTGAGATTTAGACTGACGCTGTCGCTATGTTAGCATATTTAGTTTGACAAGGGGAGACTGTAACATTAAAATTTAAACATAATTTTCGCTCTGCTATATTTGTTTCCATGCTTTGTAAATTGTTGGTGGAAGGCTATTTTTGGGTGCCCGAGGAAGAACATGCCTGCATTAATTTGTTGGAAGCATATCCATGCACCCTCGGAGATGACGTATGTTTGGCAATGGCCATGAAAGTTCAAGATGGATGCAGAAGTTGGTGCTGTTCGAGTTTGAAGTGTTAATTCCTAGATGCTGCGGATCATTGTGTGTTGTGTCCTTGTCAATGTTTTTGGAGGTGTTTACCAGATTTTGCTGATCTTTATTTAAAAAAAAAATATCAATCAAGTGCTTGTTGCACCATGAAGAAATAGCTATGAAACCGAATAATTCAAGGAAGCAGAACGCCCTCTTTAGTAATAGTAGTCATAAATAATAATTATAATAATGAGTCATCTTAAAACACTGCGTTTTCTCACTCTGAGAGCTGTGCTCTTCAAAAGTTGAGGACATTGATGGTCATGAGCTCGACACTGCGTTACCATAGTTTAAGTGTCTTGTTTTCGCCCCATTAAAAAAACGTTTTTACGAGGAGTGATTGTGTCTTGCATTAGTTAATGGTTTCTTCATAATGTCTCACTATTTATCCATTCCCTACCACAGTAGTCAAACGTGAAGGATTTATGATAGTACATCCTCAAGTTTTACAGTGCATTCCAAGTTAACCGCCAGGGTGACCGGGGCATTCTACAGTTCTGCTGATAGGACTTAGGGTTTGTTTAGCTGGAGGGAAGGAAACTCTCCCTCTCAAATTGGAGGGACTGGAGGTGGGGAGGGGTATAATTTTGTTACACAATGGCTAATATGTCCCTTCTTTTAATTATTACTCTTATCTTTTTAAATAAGTTTAGCAATGACAAATTTTTGATAATATATTTAATAATGATAATTATCCTGTATACTTATAATTACACGTTAAAAACATTCTTAATCATATTTTATAAGAAAAGAATTTTAATAATATAAGGGTAAAGTTGTCTATGTAAACTATTTTTTCTTTCTTTCCTTTCCTTCGAACGAAATAAACCCTTAAGGTAAATGAAATCACAGTTGAACAGTTGAAAGTTGATTGCCAATCAAACAAATGATTCAACATGAAAAAAATTTGTTTGGGTGAAAGCAATGCAGGAAAGCTGAAGAGTAATGCTTGTTCTTTCTTGCATTGCCAACAATTCTTCTTGATTGATACTAATCAACAATCTATTTTCTATTATCAACTTTCGAAGTATGGTTAAAAATATTGATTAAATAATTAAGAGAGAAAGAGAGAGAGAGAGACTTTGAGCGATGGAGCCCTTATAGACCTAACCCTGATTTTCTTTTGTTAACCTCCCATAGGATTCAACAGGAACTTCTATGTGTAAGCTTCACTATAATTATGTAAAGGAAAACATATGTGGTAGTAGCCAGTGAATCTCTTGCTACTCACACTTGATTGAGCGATATATGTGTCGGACAAAGATTAAAGAAGCACGAAATCCAGTAGTACCAAGCATCAGAAAGAAACCATAGCAAACGCACGCCATGTAGCCGAAGAAGAATGAGGTTTGCATGAAACCATACATGTCTGATCTCGCATGATAGTAGTACAAGCAGTAGCCATATATGAACAAGCCCGTTGATCCACCACAAAGGAAGGATCTAGTTTCATCCCAAAAATGCAGAGGTTAGTGTATGAAGAATTTGAAGAAAGTAAAGAGGAAAAGATCAAAAAACAATAACCATACCTCCACCACCATTCATGGTCCTCAGCAGCAAGCTGAAAGTATGTCAACGCCACAGTGATGAAAGCAGTGACAATAAAGAGAATGATGAATACAATGAACAGAATGCTGTATATGGTGTAAATCCTGTGACCCCAGATACTAGCAAATATGTAGTAGAGTTCAATGTAAATGGCACTGAAAGGCAAAAATCCCTGCCATAGCCATCTGAGGAAGAGTTCTCCGATACCATGGTAGACGGGGATCTCTCTGGGATACTTTGTGGTGCGACAAGGAGCTTGAAACTCGGGTCTGCTGTTCTTACCAGCAATTCCCCCCAAGACTAGTAATGGCGAAGTTACAAGAGTCCATATGAGACAAATAACAACAATGGTTCCAAATGGGAGTGCTGCAGTGGAGTTGTAGGCGAGAGCAACAGTATTAAGGAAGCAGAATGTCAAAAACAAAGGTCCCGTGAACAAGCTTCCAGTCAACACCAAATTCCTCACCTAGTAGACCATAAAACCAACATTTCATGAGTTAATATGCTGCATTTGGATTGTAGCTTCTGCAGAGGAGCCTCAATCGTTATGAGGATGTAAAAACTACGAACAAAACTAAGGCATCCTAGTGGAAATTGTTTTATTATTTACGATATGTAAGTAATCAATGTGATCCATGTGAAGACTCATGCTGAATCAAGTTTCAAAGAGCGCAAACTAGAATAAAGACAACGATTTGATGGAATTTTTCGATTGGACCATGGGACAGAAAGAAAAAGTTAATAGCAAAATTATGTTAAGCAAAACTGACGCTGACATTGTTGCACAGAAAGGAGCACTGTACTAAAATAAGCTGCAAAGGGAGCGTTCGATTGAAGCAAAATTATACATGCCATCTAAAAAGTGAGATTTACCCAGTTTTTCCCTTCGATCATGCAATAGAAGGAAGCTGCAGAGTAGGCCGCAATCCCAGAAGTTAGAGCATATATAATAACTAACGCGGTAAACAGAGCTCCCCTGTTGTATGGATAGAAAACACCAACTAGAGCCAGCATAAAGATGAAGATTGTACTGAAAACAGAGCGAAGATACATGTTAAAGAAAAAGATGAAAAATACCACTCGAAAAAAGAAACATTAAATCGAGCCAAATTCCTTTAAAGATGAGCACTCACAGTGAAAATAGCTGGGTGCCAGATCCAATGGCTGCCGCAAACAAAGACTTGTATCTTGGGTACCTGAACACATCACCGTGGATGTATTTCCATCCTCCCTCTTCTTGGTCATCAGCCTCCTCCTCATCGTGTGTAAACCTATCATATTTGACATCGTGATTGTATCAAGAGTCATAAATTAGAAGAATTCAATTCACGAGAGCAGGCAAAGCTCAGTTTAATCGGTTGGAATTATTCTTACTTCACAAAATCATTTTTAAGTATACGCATGAGAATTGTGGCGAGGAATCCAGTCAAGAGGAGAACAGTCACGCAGGAATTAATGATTGAAAACCAATGAATTTCCAAGTGATGTGGCAATGTAGAAGCCTGTGAGTATTTCTCCATTCTCTTTTCGAATGGAATATCTGTTTGAATCCATTTGACCGAATAAGTGAAGTCCACATCTACCTCTTTGTCCTCTGTCAGGTCCACTAGCGCATTTTGGTCACTCGTACTATAACATCAATGATGCGATCCTTATTGTAAAAGATTTCAAAATGGAGATGCTTAAAAAGATAAACTTTGGACCCGTGGGATCATCTCTTTGCCTTCTTCACTGTCAAATTTTCCTAGGAAGCCCCAGATGGGCAGGTCATCATAGTACATTTGGAAAAAGTAATCCTTCAAGACAGCAGCTCGGAATTTAACAACTTCTTTCCTCGTCAGCGTCTTTCTGCAAATACTCTGAGGTTCTTTATCAACTTGGAAGGGCAGCGTATAAGGAGCAACAACTAATCGATCCCCATTCAAAACTTCTCCAAGAGCTTCTTTCTTTTCTTCAACATGAGCTGCATCCAATAACTGTCAATTTCAAATAGTGGGAGACCAAAATAGAGCACTAAACATGAATTAGTGTCAGTAAACTAACCTGGTAAGCAGAAGGGAAGATCAAAATATCGGTATGTTTCACTGTTGGCATAAAAGAAGAGAAGCATAAAAAATTAGCAAAGTCATTCACTGCGGTGGAAAAATACATGACTCCTTTCTTTTGAACAAAATTTAATCAGCCAAACAACGAAGCACAAGGGCGACCCATATGTTTATTATGAAGCATTCCAGATGTCTTGGAGGTCCAGTTCCAACAAGTTTGTTACCCCACCCATTGAAGACATGTTCAAATTGAATATCTTACATATTCTCATTTAGATAATTAGCCAATGCAATCAAACGTGAATTTATGAGTCTTTTATCTTTTATTTAATGAAAAACAAGACACTACATAATTTAATATAAATTCAACCACAAATCTAGATCACTAGATGACAGCTCAGCAGGGAACAAAGGTCTCTGCCTTTAAATAATGAGGAGGATAAAGAGAAGATACAAGTATAACTGGGAAAAGCTTAATTGTCAATATATATAATTCTTTTAAATCTAAAGTAAACACTCCCTGAATTTTCTTCAATAGCAATTAGCAATAGAACAAACCAAACCTACCCATCTGGTTTTAGGGATCAATTTATATGATTTGAGATTTTACAGTTATCTTGGATGTAGTCAGAATTAAAATCACCGCGGCTCACGTAGCATTTATTTCCTTCTCACCCACTTCCGGAATATGAACAGGAATTTGGTGGTCAAAAGAGAACCAGAATTCAACTCATTAATTTGATGGTTGCCAGTTGCCACCATTCTTTCAGAGTAATAAAATTAAAATTAATGTTACCAAATCCAACCATAAGATCGAGTGGATATTGAATCTTCTCTATATATTTACAGGCGAGAAACTGAAAATTCAAATAATAGAAACCGGAAGGAAATCATTCTGCACGAAGTCGAATTTTCAGTGTCTGTTTTTCGGGGAGAACTGGAATAGAAATGAAGAAATTGAGCACGTTACCTGGGATTGTGGAAGGGTCCCACCTTGTTGGCGTAAAAGGGAACGTAATCTCCCGCCTTGTAACGATGATCCGATTCATCAGATGTGACATGAGTTACGCAGCAGAGAATGAAAATGGCCACAGCCAAACACGGCACTGACATTCCCATCAATGAAGAGAGGGAGAAAATTAAAGAAGCTCTGCAATGGTTTCTCCCACAACCGGTCAGCCAAATAGATGCATCAGACTGGTGGGGGAG